TCACCTAATGGCTTTAGTCGAGCAAGGGTATCTACTTCCAAGTTCACTCACTGGGCTGTTGGCCTGTGTCCTCATATTTTAGCTAACTGTTGACTGGTCACCACAGTTCCTTACCATGTGAGTCTTTTCATAGTTTACAACATAACAGCTCAAGTTCCTAAAGCAAGTAATATGCAAGAGAGAGGGACCAAAATGGACTCTGCAATGTCATTTTAAACAAGCCTTCAAAGTAGCACAAAAAGAGTAAGCATTCTTGTAAATGAAGAGCCAATGTATTCCCTGCATTAAAACAAAGAGGTATGTCAGAGAACAAAGGTCAGCATGTTATTTGGCACAGGACCAACTTTAAATAATTAAGTATTCACTTTTGTGTATATTGTGATGTGAAGAAATAGGAAAATAATGTGAGGAAAAGTATGAGTTAAATCTTTATCTCAGGTTTAAAAGTCATTGGATAAACTTCTAAAATATTTAAATCAAGAAATATGACTTATTAATATTAACATATGGTTTAAAGATGAAGCCCCAGGGAAAAAAGTTTCTGAGTCACTGGACAGATCTGAAGGTGGACATTCAGGCTAATTAAGTGTTCAGACTTTCATATGTAGAAAAATATCTCTGCCAGAAGAAAGAAAAAATAGTATCAGCTTCATGAAGCTATGGGTCTTAAAATTCTTTCTTTTTTTATTTTATTTCTCTCATTTTGGAGATATTCCAGACGCTTAAAAGATGGAGGCAGGATGTAATAGAAAGGTCAGAGTGTGGCTCTTGTTAACCGTGTGATGTGTCATAAATGATCAGAGTGAGTCAGTCCTTTATGACACATCATTTAAAACGTGGTGAGATCCTCCCCATGGATTTCAGGATATATAATCCGTGAGGTACCAAACACTTTCCTGTTATACAACATTAGCTCTCTAAATATTAAATAAATATGAACCACAATAATGAGTGTTCAATAAAGGGAAAAATGAAGGGAATGAAGTATTTATAGAAGTCATTCATATGCTTAATTGTAGTTTCCACTATTATTAATTCATTCCCAGTTGCTTAACATAATATAAAGAAATTATGACTTAGCATTATGTGAACTTTCAAAGGCAAATTTCTCTACCATTAGTAATTTTCAAAGATAATAATATAATTAGAAATATTTTAATCTGTTTTATTAATGATAGAAAACATAACTTGGTGACATCATTTCAGATCATTACCTGTAATGAGTCTGAATTCTTTGCTGACCTATTTAATTTGATAATTATGTACCCTCGTCTACTTTCAAATGCACATAATAAATTTAGCAAGGATTAAGAAGGGATAAAACATTCTTGGGTTACTACAAGAGAGAGGCAAAAGGCTTAGGAGAATTCGCCTCAATAGGTCTGTTAACCTCATTGTCAGAAAATTAACATTAATTTCCCCAGGAGCACTGCAATTCAGAAGCCCCAAGGATTTCACTTATTAAAAGGAGGCAGTGCAGCTTTAGGGTTCAGAGAGCAAGCTTTTTAGTCTCAATTACCTGCCCTTCACTTATTAGCAGTGTGACCTCAGTTTCCTCATCGGTTAAATCAGGGTAGTAATAGTACAGTTCCTGTCTCACAGGGCTGCTGTAAGTATTAAATTAGGCATGCATATTAAATACTTATCACAGTAGTGAGCTGATATAATGAATGCTAAGCTACCATTGTGTATATTCTGAATAAAGGTGATTGAGGAAGTATAGACTTCAGTTCAGGAATTCTGAACTGTTTTAGAATTTTCCATATCAATAGACAAGATCTTTTGTTTGTCCCAAATATATTGATTCAGAGGTCATCTTTATTTCAAAAATTTACCCTTCAAAGTTCAGAACAGTTCATCCTACCTGGCATTTCAATTGATTAGAATGAATTTGTTTAAGATATACCCCTTGTTGATCAATGATTGTAAAGCATGACTATATATTATATGTAAACCTTATTTTTTTAAAACCTGAGTAGATTATAGATTGAAGATAGGTTTGTCAATTTGTTATTCCTTCTAAATTACCATTAGCTGGCTACTTCATTATATTCACTTTGTGCTTTCTTGAAAGTATTACAAAAATTTGCTCCTAGTTTGATCCATGCAACCATATGTCCACAGTATAAGTAAAGCATACTAGCAGCTGATGTTTAAGCTAATGAAATGAGAAATGTATTACATATCAGCTTCAAATAGTTCATTTATGCAGTTAGAGTAAAAAAATTGTATTTTCCATCTGTACTTCAGAAATTAAACATTTGCTTGTGAAAGATTTTATTTTAATTGGAGCTAATATTAGCTTATTAATAAAAGGAACCTAGAGGAGTTAAAATGAAATCATGTTGCAATAATGAAAAGATTTTGTTGTATTTTCCTTAAACTACCCTAAATCTTTTTCACATTATCTCACACAGTGAAAACTAGATGTTTACATGGCTTTATGTTTTTTATTATTTTCTTTTGCCAAAATTGCCATGGGAAAACAATGGGAGCAGTTTTGCTACTGTGGAAATGAGTTTGCTCAAGGAATTGATAGAATTATTGTGTTTCACGCTTGTTGGTATATGAGAAAAATACTTTTTAGTAAGGAAGATTATGAATACAGTTTTGCAAACAGGCCATGACAGCTATTGAGACCACATTTCTTTGTGCTTAACTGTGTTTAGAGTTAATAAAGGATGTCAAAGAAAGCAATGGTTTTTGTGGGTGATTTACTGTTCCTGCCAAAACTTGGCTGGACACACCTTAAATGTTCTCTCTTCTTTCAGTACTACCACAAGTAAAGATAAACTCATTAAATATTTTTGAATGCTTCTGTAATCCTGACTAAATATATTTTTGGAGTTTCCTTACTTGAGAAAAATGTAACTCATATTACATTTAATACAATTTAAACATAAGCTTCATTTTTTTTCTGGCTTTTATATATTCTATTCATTCCTTTAATTATATTCTCTTAATGTGTTCAATTATTTATCTACTACTTTCTGAGCTAGGTACATCAAATATAAATAGGTAAATATAAGGAAATATTGGAAATGTGTAAACCTTAGTGTCATGACTCATTCACGAAACAATTTAGTAGTGTTTTGTGGCAAATACTATTGTACTTAATGCTAAGAATGTCATCAATAAAGTATTTAAAAACAAGTCTAAAGAATGAGCAGAATTTAAGCAGGGGAAGGACTATGATGTGGACTTGAAAAGATAATGATGGCTAGAGGAAGTAGGGCTAAAATTCGCAATGGATTCAGGACATTATTGTGGTAGAAAGGATTGCATTTAGTGGGCATCTGAATATAGGAGGAAAAGCAGAGCAGGAGATCAAAGAAAATGCTGGAGCTTTTTCATGAGTGACTGGGCATAAAAATAGAGCAATGCTGTGTTTGAATATGGTTTCTTCCCTGTAAAACTCATGCTGAAATTTAATTCCCTTAATGAGACATTAAGAGATAGGACTAAGTAGAATTTTAAGTAGGTGATTCAAGGTTCTGCCTTCATGAATGGGTTAGTCCATTAATCCACTAACTAATGGATTAGCAGGCTGTGTGTTATCTTGAGAGTGGGTCTGCTATAAAAGCCACTTTGACCAGGTGTCTCACATGTCCCCTGTCTCTCAGCACTGTATCACCTCAGGGTTTGCCACCAAGGAAGCCATTTCTACATGTGGCCTCTTGACCTTGGACCAAAACCATGGGCCTCTTTTAACTCATCTACTGTATAGTATTATGTTATCAGCAATAGTAAATGGATTAAGACAAATAAGTAGATGAAATCTAGGTTTTCTGGATAGAAAATAACATGTTTAGATTCATATGGGATAGGTTTGAGGTGCTGTAAAAAATTCAGATAGACTTTTGCAATGGAAAATTTGTTTGGCTTTCGGGCCTTCAACGAATATGTCTGAATTAGAGAGTCTTTGGAAGTCATATCCATGTAGCTGGGAGCTGTGATTTGGGAATCTTTCAACTCAGAAAAATGATGTGTTTTCTTCCTCCTTGGCTCTGTTATTCATTGAAAGTAGAGCAATTTGATGGAATCTTACTCTATAACACTATTAGCCAATATATGTTTCTGTGATGGTAGCCTTATTTCTATTTTTCAAAATGGAAGTTCACATATGTATCAACTGAACATTTGAAATGGGTTTAGTGTAACTGAGGAGATGAAATTTTATTTACTGTTTACAAATTTAAATTTTAATAGCCATGACTATTTAGATGTTATTATCATTGGGCAGCATGCCTAGAGGATGGACAAAGGAAGGGGGTACAGTAGATAATACTGGCAGGTACAGTGGCTTAGAAAAGTACCCTAAATCTAGTGAAGGGTTAATAAATGTTACTGTTTTTAAATCTGGAAATATCTTTTTATTGGATACTAATTCTGAAACTTTACTTTTTTAAAGAAAAGGTCAATCTACATATTGGCTTTGCTGATACATTGATACCTATACTCGGTGTTATGCCGTTTTAGAAATAGTTTGCATATGACATTACCAATTTCTTTCAACAATATTTTCATTGTATGGAAAACATCTTACCAAAAGAATGTTTACAGCATCTTTATTGATTTTACAACAGAATTAGTATCTATAATTAGTTTCTTCTGTTTAGCAATTTAGATGTTTTATTTCTTTAAATACTGTTATGTTTACAGTTCTGTTTTTCATACCAATTCCTTTTTGTTATTTCTTGAGATTTATATTGAACATGATAAGTAACTACATAGTCTCAGGCTTGGGAATAACAAAGATGACATAAAAGGGAGAGATAATTTTAAAATGTTTCTATAAATATGTGTTTCATTGTCTTTGATACCTTTTTACTTTTCAGAGATCCAAGAAAAAATCCTGCCAAAATGTTTTATATCTCTACTTTTAAAAATTATTAAGTGTCAGTTAATCAAATAACTTATTTAAAAATACAACCCTACACTCCTGGAAATTATAGAAACCTACAATTACAAAGACAATCTTCTCTTATTTATTTTAATAGTAATTCCTGAGTTTGTAACACAAGTGAATGTCGCCTTGGAAGCCTTAAACAAGAACTCCTTAAACGTATTTGATGATAATCAATTTGTGGATATCTCAAAGAAGATCTATGACACAATTCATGATATCAGATGTTCTGTCATGATGATTCGGGTAAGTCTGCTTTACTTTCCTTGAATTATTTCAACATTCTTCATCATCTGAAATGCTTGGAATGATTGCAAGAAAGAGTTTATTCTATTCTCTGATATCAACGCTGAAATCCATTAGAACTTCAGCAATTCATATGTATCCCCAAAGTCAGATCCACTGTCACAAACCATAATTCTACTTATGTATTTGGTTATAACTTATGTAAATGAGTATATTAGCTGCAGCATGTGCAGAAATGATAAGATGTATTGTGTACAAGTGTTTCATGGCATGATCAAGAGGCAAAGAGAAATATATCAAGTAATTTGCTTTCTTTCCTCTAACAAATGGCAAGTATCTTTCCTATTACTAAGTTGGAATTGATAAGCAAATATATTAAAACAAGGTATTTCTGTAGTGAAATCCTCTCTTCCTGTATCACAGAATCACAGATTGTTCTGCAAGAAATCTGACCTGGAGCCACCAGGAACAGCAAACTCTTGAACTTTCCCAGTCTGGGAGTTGTCTATTTAAGGAAATGCATGCCACATTTCCAGCGATGTGAATGCATTGTAGGCACACTGTATATACACAGACCACAATCATGCTTTTACGCAAATGTTTATGTAAATTAATTTAAATGTTAGTAATGAAACAACATATGTATATGAAAGATATTAAGTCTTAGGACAGGTTCACCTGCATGCAGACCCTTAAGTAAGGATTAATGTTATTAGAAGTGTATTTAGGAACAAATAAAAGTGAGACTAGGATGGGAAGGAAGCTAATAAGGTATAATTATGAATCACCACAGGCAATTGGGGCTGATCCTGCTGGTGAACTCTGGGAGGTACTGTATTACACACCTCAGAATTATTTCACCTGAGGTGAACAAAATCTGGAAACTTAGCCACCTATTCATCCTTGATTAAATGCTATTCTCAGGGGTGGTACCTGGGCCTGATGTTCAGAGTCAGTCAAGCTCTTGTGGCCAAAGAAAGCAACCCTCAGGCAGGGTGGCAGGTGCTTGCAGTTAGAAGATTCAGCAGGACTGCTGAGTGTAATTTGTAAGGATGAATAGAGTTTCATCTGAAAGTTTCTGGACTTAAGTACTAGTAACACTGTAGGATGAAAGTAAAAGTGGCAAGAAGATATGGGTAACGTATTAATCATAGCTGATAGACCTGGAAGTTACAGTTAGGTGACACTGAGAATTCCATAGGGATGACAATGGAGAGTCTGGCAGGGTCAGTGGAAGAGTCTGTAAGACAGTGGTTAAAGTGTCAAGATATGAGATTTAGCATATCAGAACTTGGAAAAACCTGAAAGCAAACCAGTTATAGATATTAGAAAGAAACCCCAACTCCAAATGGTTACAATTTTTTTTCTCCACAATGTTGTGAAGCTACATGTGTTTATTAATAATTATACTTTGAAGTTTGATCTTTTTCTGGACTGCCAATATGTGATATCGTACTCTCTCAATGTTGAGCAGCTGCACAGAGCTGCAGCTCCCAGTCAGCCACCCAGCCATGAGGCTAAACAGCAGATACACCATGGTGTACTGTGTTACTCATCTTGATATTCAGTAGGTTTGTTGTATTAAATGCAGTTTTGACTTAGATGATATTTTCAATTTACAATGGATTTATGGAGCCCCATCATAAGCTGAGGAACATTGTACTGATGAGCAGCATACAAGACTTTGTTCATATGATTGGAAACTATGAAGCTATACCAACACAGTAAGTGAAAAACAAAGAAACTTTATCAAATAGTTCTTTTCTCCTTGCAAAGGTTTTATGCTTTACCTGGGTAGACTAGTGGATTAGTACTTATCCCAAATTAGAAGGGTAAGTGAGTCCAATCAAGGAGACAAGCACTAATAATATAAAGAAGACACATGCTCTTTAGGAAATTGTCTTACCAGGACTAAAGCCCTACATTTTCACTATCCCTGCACAGATATTTGAGAAGATATGCCAGTGAAACAGTATATAAGAATCAAGGTAGAGAATACATAAAAGCTGTCTAGAGATGAAAAATCTTCATAACCTCTTTTAGCTAGATATTCCAGTATTTACATTTTTTTCATATTATCAAGATGACTTGTGTACAACAAATCAAATTATCTTGCCATTATTTCTACATATTTCTCACAGTGGTCCACGATAGGGCAGGAGAGCAATTTATTATAATTATTAGTACCTTTGAGGCAGTATTTTTTTTTTTTTACCGATAGTCTATTCCTTTTCAAGGTAAATACTTCCATTTCTGTTAACTTTTCTCACAGGAATAATCTAGTATTTTGTGTTCTTCTTTAGTCCTTATTTAATTTTCAACAAACTTTTCAAGTGAGATTATCCAAAAACTGTTCGATCAAATAAAGTAGAAGGCTTGTTCTTATGTGTCATTTAGACTGCTATAATAATTGGCTTATTTGTACCCCGTTTTAAACAACAGGATTATTGAATTAAGGATGACTTGCTTTAAATTTTATTTTTTATACTGTTGTTTCCATTTTAGTTGTGATTGCCCTCAGTCCTAAATTCTAATTCTGTTAAGTTCCATTTTGTTTTTAAATGACTTTTCATATAATTTATCTAATTGCTTTCCAATTTGGTTATTGACAGTGCCAAGGTAGTGATACCACAGGTTATTGGTGACTGGCTCCCTCACATGTTGAAGTATAATATTAGAGAAGCACAACATGGCAAGCATATAGGGCAGGGTTTATTTAAAAAGAGGTAACACAGACTTCTCCCAGGAGAGAAAAGGGGGCCATAGCTGGTATCCTAGTATCCCAAGAAGTGAGTGGGTTTTGCCTTTTTATATGTCCTAGGCTTCCTTTTTTTCTCCTGTTCTCTTCCCCTTATCTTTCTCCTTCCTACATAAGTAATTAGGCCCAGGAAATGCTCAGTGGGATGACCAAAAAGTGGGAGCCAGATGGGCTGAAGGGGCCAGGAGGAATCATCCAGGTGGGAAGGGGGAGCAATTAACAATTTCCTATAGGGAGTGACAATACCTGGAAGAGGTTACTTTAGCAACAGGTTGGAGCAGGTTCAGATTATCTTGATAAGGGTGGAGGAAGGGCTCTGAAGGAATTTAACATTTCAACTTCTCCATTCTCTGGTTCCCCTTGCCTATCTGCCTAATTCTGGCTTCAGTAGCACCAATTAGGAACATAAAATGTGAAGTTGCATTTCCTTTGTCTAGATTACTGATAAAAATAATAAATCATACGGTATTGGCCCTTTATCTGACTGAAATCCTCAATGGATAGCTCTGTTTAAGGATATTTGAATCCAATACTGCATTAGCTGAGCACATGTCTCTAAGAATATGGTTTGAAAGAATGCATTTTGAATTTTGAGATAGGCATATTTTTTCTTTAAATAAACTAGATGGCCATAAAAAGAAGACAGATAAAAATAGAGTTTTGCTTGAAACTATAAAGGGAAAAATAGATGATGATGGTGGGAACACAAGGTTAAGAAAATATTTCTATTCTATATAGAATATTTCTATATATAAGAGAATATTTCTATATATTTCCACTATACTGACTCCCCACATGCTTTCTTTGCCAAAAAGCAATCTGTCTGCAGCCCAGTCTGGCCTGCGGGAACATGAAATGTCACATTCATCAACAAATTGAGTCAGGGGGCAGAAGGCCTGGCAGTCAGTGTAGATAATGAGTCCATCATCTCTGTCCCTACATCTGCAGATAAAGTACATGTGTACTATATTGCTGTCGTGTGTCTGAATTCTCACACTCAAACTACCGGAGGGAGAGGCCCTGTCTGTTCCAGCTACTCACTGACTCCCACAGAATGGTACCTGCTGCAATTAGAGTTCTGTGGAATTAAGTTCAGCTATACAGTTACCACTTGTATTGTTACTTTAAATGCCTGTATTTATTTCTTCACTGAGAAGATAAAAGATGTATACTACTGAATCCCTACTTTCAGTTTTCACTGCACTGAAAAATTAAGGACTAAATATTGCTTCCTGAGAAGAGGAACAAAGTTAAACTGTCCATACTCTAGGGCAATGGAAATTATATAAGAAATGTTCAATGGAGAAATACAATGCAACTCAGTAAATATTTTTATACAGGGGCAACTAACAATTAGAAAATATATTTTTAAAATGTAATAAATCAAATAAATTTAGTGATAAATTTAATAAAACACATATAAGGTCTATACTATAAAACTTACAAAACATTTTGAAGACAAATTAAAGACCTAAATATATGGAGAGATAAGTTAAGATGTTGGTCATCCCTAAATAGATTTCTAGATAAAATGCTGTCCCTCCTAAATTCTCAGAAAACCATTTATGAAAACTGATAATCTGAGATGGTTACACGGGTATATATATTTGTCAAAACACATAAATCCAATTGGAAACTTAAAATTATATATAAATTTGAAACAAAGTTGATTTTTAAGTCCTGTTCTACTCAGTAGCTAATCACTTAGTACAAAGCTAATTTTAATTAGATAAAGTCCTACCAAGCTGTATTAATTAGACAATCTTGTGGGACTATTGAAAATGCTTAAATTAGACACACTACAAAATAAATACTTTTATACTTTATTATTGCTTTTTCCAAGTGTTTCTATTTTACGAGCTCTCTTTCACTAATTTTCATTTCTCATGTTTGTTAATCATTATGTATTACTATCTTAGTTCAGGGGTTGGTAAACTCTGGCCTACTATGGTCTGCCATTAATTTTGTATAGCCTATGGGCGAAGAATAGTTTTAATATTTTTACATTGTTTAAAACAATTTTAAAAATATTTCTTGACATGTTTAAGTTATATTAAAATCTAGTTTTAGCTTCTGTAATTAAAATTTTATTGAAATATGACCATTCAATTGTTTTTAACCTATTGATCTGTGCTTCAATGGCCAGGTGGAGTAACTGCAACAGAGGCTACATGTCTCAATACCTAAAATATTTACTATCTGACTCTTTACATAAAAAGTTTAGTGACCTTTGTTTTAGGAAACTTGTTTTAGCCTATTTCCAAAATATTGTCTGACTTCTCCAAGAATGCATTTATTCATTTATAAGTTTTCTTTTTCAAATCTAATTATCCAAAGTATTTAAATATACTCTTTTTTCTTCAAGTTCCTTGAGTCATGTAATCACCCCAAATGACTTCTGTTAACCCTTTCTACTCAAAGTATAGAGTCTCAGACATTTTTTCTCTTCTCCAAGGACTTCCATTTTTCTGGGTACTCTAATTTTCTCACACTTTCTTTTGTAGATAAAACTCTCTTTGTTTCTTTATTTTAAAATTTTACATTCATGTCTTGGTGCTTCACAGATAAAGTTCTTTAGTTCATTGACTCCTACCCTGCTCTGAAGGCTGTAAGGAATTTTTTACATCCTTTGTATCATTTGTTCAGCATGTAAAATTAAATTTTAAAGTGTCCTTTGATTATCGTCAAATTTTGAAATTCACTTTTTAAGGCTAAAGGATGTAGAAATTCATCAACTTTATTCTCTCATTTCATTTTTTAAGTTAATGTAGTAATAATTTTGTCCAAAGATCATTGCGTTTACAAATGAATTTTCATAAAATCAGTGTTTGCTATATGCACCTTAGTTTTCATAGGATGATCTTGGATTATACCCCCTTTTACTCTCAAAAGTATCTACTTTGAATGATAAATTGTTAAGCTCACAGTAATTTCTGGGTCCGACTATACTGTTTGAGGTCCAGTGGTGCATTGTCTGCACCTACAGGGCACTGTTCCATAGTGCTTGGCACTAATGACTGTAGTTCCCTGTCAAGCCAGTTTTTCTCACCCTAGGGAATACTTTTTCTCTGTACAACTAACTGCTCTCAAATGTTAGCTTCTTCATGCTCTACAGATTCTTTGTTGACTGTGGAGAATCTCTTCAGGCACCATTTTGAATTTAACACACAAAGACATAACATTTTTTTTCATTTCTCCCTGTTAAGCAGATTTCCTAAATTCATCTTAATTGCTCTACTCTTTATTTTCACAGGAGTCTTGCCCTGAAATTCCAGTTAAAACATATGT